CAGTAGTAAAGCTCACCATGTCTTAATGGACAGAAATTCCTTGCTGAAGTCCAATTACAAGACTTTAGAATTTATTTTTAATCCAAGAAAGGGATTACAAATAGCTATATTTTGTAGAATTTTAAGATGAGCCATAAAATTCATGGTCTTTGATTTTGATATTGAATATCTAAAAGGAAATACTATTCCTCATGATGCATTATCATGATTACAGTCTAAAGTTGAACAAAGAGAAAGCATATCAGATGAAGACAAATTTTTGCATTGAATTGAAACTGACATTCTGCCTCTAAATCAACTTACCTTAGAAATCCATTATTAAGTAAAAGTACCTCAAGAATAAAAAGGAACACATGGTATAACTGTTCTAAAGCTGAAAGGTCTTATAAAGTGATAAGACATAACTATGGAAAAAGGTATCGTATATAAGGTTAGCTTAGTAGTACCACCAGAAAAGTTGAGAAAATATGTATTAAAAAGTGTGTACAATGATGTTCATTGTGGAATCACAGCCACACACAAATGATTAAAATTAGAAGCTTGGTGTCTGGGGGATACATGAGAGTTTTGAAATGTCCAAAATGTATGGAAATAAAGAATTTTCAACAAAAGAAATTGTAGATCTGGTCTAAAGAAACAGAGCTAGATAGAACTGATACTGTATGTCCAATATTATGAGTAATATTCTCCTGATGTTGGATCTAAAAAAAAACATTATCAGATAATGCCTGGGAATTTTGTCATGATGATCTGTGTTCATGGTTAAGAAAAAATTGCTGCATTTCATTGGCCATATCATCCATAATCAAATGGAATTGCAGAGAGAATAGAACCGACAATCAAAATGAGATTGAAGGCATTTTCTCATCACTAGGATAATATTAAGTTTTCTCTCATGTTCAGTTATCAAACTATACTTCCCACTGGTGAATTACAAAATATTTTAATGGTTTTGAACCCCATTAACCATGTCATTAATGAAAAAATGTAGTACAAGAAGAATGATGAATCATATCCTGAAATGGTCAAATTTATAATGCAGATGGTACAAAATACAGCATTAGTATAAAAAAAATCAGAAGAGTGTTATTACCCATGCTGACCAAATAATGCCCAGGCAAGAATTTGAAGAGAAGATAGAAGAAGTTGTGTCAGTAAGTAATCCCAGTCAGGAATCTTTAAAGCAAGAAAATGAAACTAATAAAAGTATAAAGTATATGGACAGACTGTGAGGAACTATATCAAAACATAATAAAAAAAATGAGACAAATCAAGATCTTCTATAGAGAGGACAAGGTCAAAGAATCAAAGAAAATGTAACGGCTTGAGATCCACAGGGGGCATAAAACCCCTTCATTTTTTGCAAAGTATAGTGACATTGAAAAAAGTATTGTCTCAATAACTTATGAGTACCTAGACTTGTATGTATTGTCCTCCTACTAATGTGGAAAGGGACATGAAAGTACAAAACCTTGATTTACACATAATACATAGTTTCTGGTTTGATTCTGTGTCTGTAATTTGAAAACAGTGATAAAAATCACATGAAAAATTTATATATGCCTTTTCATTCAGACTAGTATACTCAGAAATCTTTGGCCATTTTACCCTCAGGCTTCATTTAAATATCCATTGTACTTGGTAGATTTGTTAGAATTTTGATCTGAATATATATTCAGTCCATAGGGATAGATTGTTCTTATTCTGTTTTTTATGTTTGGGGTTTGCTGTACATTTTTTAATTTGCTATAGCTTATTCCCCTTTGTGTCATGTCCATTTCATCCATTCAAACAAAGTATATGACTTCTGTATGATCTGGCCCAACAATTAGACTCACAACTCTCAAGAAATGTTAACCAATGCTTTAATCCACTGCATTATGTGTCTTTATGACAATCTACTGGTGTAATTTTGGAGCCTTCAACCTAATGACATATACAGAATTTTATAGTACCCTTTCTTTCTAATCAAAAGCTAATGATGCTAATCTATGTGCTAGGTCTACTGATTAGGTTGTTAAAAAGCCCAACATATGCACTGATTTTTCTCTCCATCTATTACCTGCTGTTGTGGCTCTGCCTGTTGCCTGATGAGCAGATTCAACCAACTTACAATTAAGTCTCCCTCCTATGAAAGAACTATGCCTACTTTGTGCAGACCATTAGAGATATTCTATTTATACCAACCTAATGGTTCACTTGGATGATGAGAGTCTATACACCAAGATTCCCATTGATGAGGCTCTTTTGATGGTTTTAAACAAATTAGAATTTGACCCATCTCTAGGAGAGCATACAAGTGTCCTAATAAATTATCTGATGGAGATTTTAACATTTTCTGTGCAAATAACATATTTCCAGTTGGATTCTGATATATACTGACATGGAGAAGGTTTATCTATGAGATCACCATTATCTCCAGTAAATGGAAATATGTACATGAAAATTTTTCAGGAAATTGTAATTCAAGTAGCATTGGCAGCTGGTTCAATAAATACCAAATATTCCTTTATAAGGAAATGACTATTATTACCACTAGAGATGAGAACAGATACTATACTTTGATCCAAGCCGGATGGCTCGTTCCCACACTTGCAACTCAGATGAAACTGGTCCAGTCACTTTACTCTGCACTTGGTGGCAGGGAAGCCATCTCAGATCAACCCTGCACCTGGCTCTTATGACAGTTTGGTGTGATATTGAGTGCAAAGTCTATTCTGATATGATTTGTTGTGAGACACATATTACAAAAGCAGCCAAAATTAAAATGGAAGAAATAAAGTAACAAGATTAATAATGGTTACAATGACTTGTTTAATAAAAATAGAAAAATGAAGATATTTTCTCTCTCCTCTCTATGACATGAGTGATCATGTCTCCCCACAGCTTCCTGTTTGTTGTTTTCAGCAGTACTTGCTCCTAAATGACTTCTCTTTGTATTTGTGCTATTTGCTTTCCTATCCATTTTCTGAAATTTATCAAGTTACTTACAGTTTTTCTCTGCCTGTTTTGATGTATCATGTGTGTGTTAAATACTCCAAACCTTTTTTCCTGATATTTTCCTCTTTTTCTGATTTTCAGTAGTTTTTTTGTAGTTTCTATTCTTAGAACTTCATTATTTATCAGTTGTTTGCATTTTGAAATTGAAGAGAATATTATGACTAATAATATTTGTATTAATAATTAAAACAGTTAAATATCTTATTCAACAATTCAGCATTATGTAATTAGGTTTGAGTCATAAATAATTTCTCTTTTCATTTATCAGCCTTATTCTTCAAAAACCCATATACAGTTATATTTTATTCAATTATATATCCACCATTTTTTGCAATGACTTGTTGCTATTTATCCAGTAGTTTTTCAGTACTTTTGAGGTAAAATTCTGTTGGTTTTTGATTAACTCTTAAATCCAAATTTCATTTGAGAAAGTTTTCCTTATCAAAGAGTATTGAAGTGGTTGAAATAGGTAATAATCAGTTGGTGCAAAGGTCAGATAAATATGGTGATGGGATATAATTGACCAGCTGATCCACAGAATTCTTTTCTGTGTTATTCTTGCTGTATGTGGCCTTGTATTGTCATGAAGGAAAACAATATTTTTTTCTTTGATCCACTGTGTATACGGCCACTTTTGTGCAAAACCTAAGGTTTATTCATCTACTTCAAACTTATTCTTAACTACCACTTATGATTAGTAGTTTGGGTGATATATTACAATTGGTTACAGGTGCTATTCATTGTACTTGCTTCTGTTAAAAGCACTTATAACAACCTAATTTAATAATTTAGTAAATCAGTTTTCCTATAAGACAGAGAATGTTGGACAATCTTTTTACAGAAGAAGAGGAGACTTGAAGCAATAGAAATATGGTTCTACAGAAGGATGATAAGAATATCAGGGACTGAACATGTGAACAATAAGTTTCTAGAGACAATAGCAAGAAGGACACTTATAGTTAACATCAGGAAGAAATAGTTGAAATTTCTATCCCACATAATGGGGAAAGAGGGTTTGGAAAATTTGATACTTACAGGACATATTGAAGGCAAGAGGGACAGAGGAAAACAGTGCACAACTTACCTAGCAAACTTGGGTGATTGGTAGATAGATAACAAAAAGTCAAAATATATTTAAGAGCTAAAAAGGATAGGGAATTGTAGAGAGCCATGATTGCCAACATCCTGAAGTGATACGGTATATAAAAGAACTTTTTTTTACCATTAATATTTATATTTAGAGTTGAATATCATATTTAGCACTTTACATTAAATTGCATAATTTATTGAATAATACTGCTTCTACTCAGAAGTTTAGAAAATAGTTGTCAACAAAGTTAAAAAAAATGACCATTTTTCTTAATCCATATCACACACTAGGTAAATTATATACAGAACAAATATTGATAACAATAACTGGCCAATAATATTAAGCAAAGGATATAAAAATAGGAACAATATACATTCTGCTATATACACCTGAAGAAGACTGGAGAATGAAAAGACTGAAACGCTGTCAAACCGATGAAGATACCAGTCTGCATAACCCATTGAATCATGATAAGACTTCTATTCAACATTTCAGAAAACAGTTGCAAATGGAGTTAGCAAAAGAAAATATCTGCTTTCTTATTCCATGTGGAAAATTAACCAAATTATGCACTGCCAAAATTTTATAAATGGAAATATCCAGTTAGTCCATTTTCTTGTTTGTTTCCTTGAACATCTTGTTTCTGTTATTTATTTTAACTTTTTATCTTTATAGATGTTTTATTATTCACTCTTTATGACCAATGGCAATCTGCTAGTGTTTCTGAAATCTTAACAATTTTTCTCCACATGAGATAATAATAAACTCAATTTTTTTCCTTCATTTTCCAGATGCCTTCTCTGATTGTTCTCATCTTATTGCCCAAAATGTCAAATTTTCTGGACATAAAACTGCTCTTTTGAATGTTGGCCCACATACCTACCTCATTCCACCTGACAGCTCCTTCTTAATGTCCAACTTGAAGCACCTGCAAACATTCCCTCATCTTACAGGTAAGCTGACTTTTTTTTTATATTACTTCATATCACAGTCACATAGTTGTTAGCCAATTTGAGACATTTAAAAGTATATCTGAATAGGCAATGCCTATGATAATATATTTTCATAGAGAGGAGATAGACTGATATAGTTTGGGACAAATGGATATGAAAGAGTTTTTCAGATAATAACACATTTTTAATTTGTTTTCCTTAAAAAGCACTCCAAATATTAAGAAATACTATTAAAAAAATTGAAATTGGAAAGTTAAAATTAAAAAGAGTAGAAAACTGATTTTTTTTTGGAAGATGGTACATTCATCATTAGAACTTCTAATATTTGTATGATTAGTGTTTACAAAAAAGATAAAAAAAGATGAAAGTATTTCTACCCATGACAAGTTGTAATTAACTGAGTCAGTCATAATAATAGTATTCAATACTCAGCTAGACAAGTCACTGCAATAGTATTATCTTCTTTTCTTTCTAGACAGTTACCCAGGACTACTTATCATGAATGGGTCAGTCACTTCATGATAGTAAAGAGGGTAACTAGCTCTGACCACAACATTGTGCAATGCACATGACTCAAGAATTTCAGTTATTGTGCATTTTTATAGATCAACACATTATCACAAGTGTTTGGGCTGATGGAAGATGGTTATTTTTATCAAGTCACCATTTCTAGATAAATTGCCAACAAGGGCTTAAGAGCTTATATCTACCCATTACCACAACCATTGACAATTTTCAAACAATTTTGTCAACTCAATTTAACTCAGGTTTAGGGCAGCCTGTGGTGTGTATTTTCAGAGAATTCCCAATTGTGCTACTTGCTGAAATTGTCTCTTATTAAGAAGTGACTACCTTGACTAATTGATTATGGTGAGATTCAAAACCCAGGCCTCATGACCAGAACACTAATGTTCTAACTGTTCAGCCATGCACAGACACTACAAAAAGATATATGTTTACTTATTTATATTTACCCATGTAAATAAATACCTACAATGTATATCATATTTTCTATAATTATTCTTATATACTGGTTATAGTCTCAAAAGTGGTTTTAATACTGTGATAGAAAAATTCTATGCATGCCATCTAAATGTAATAAATAAGATGTCGGGGTAAAAAATGTTAACATGGTCATTAGATTATTATTAATAATTTTGAACATCAACTTTTTTAACAATGAAAAAAAGATGAGGTAACAGAAATTTGGTTCAGGATGCCAAGAATACCATGGACTAATAATGTGAGCAACAACAAAGTTTTAGAGAAAATGGAAACAAAAAGAACACTTACACTTAACGTTAGAAAATGATAGTTGAAATTTCTAAGGTACATAATGAGGAAAGAGGGCTTGGAAAATTTGACAAGGGACAGGACCTATTGAAGATAAGATTGGCAGTATATTGATCATGAAAGATAGCAAAAAGATAAACTTTACTAAGAGCTACACTAGATAGGAAGTTGTCGAAAGCCATTATTGCCTACGTTTTAAATGGGCATATTATGTAGAAGAAAAAGAAGTGGTTCTTTCACATTTGCATATGATTGTTTTTATCATAATGTTTTCATTAGTGTACTTTCAGACTTTCCTCAGTTATCTATCATATCAGGAAGAGAATATTTTATTTCACCTTGTGATGTGGTTTCATTTTTTTTTTAACTGAATGTTCACCAAATACAAGGTTCAAAAGCCTCTCGAGGTAGAGTGGTTTGAATGAGTTTGTTATATGGGCATAAAAGGTGGAAGTAAATTCAGATTATGAGAGGATATATTGGATAAATAACAGTTGACCCTTGGCTTGAAGAGATTAGGATTCTAGTGATCAGAGAAGGATCCTCTTGGAAGTCAGTTCAAAAAAAGTAGTGGTTCTAAAGAAGTTGCTGAGTGAGCTCATCAAAACATTTAGTTCCAGCATCCTTAAAGAAGAGACTGACAATCCAAGATGGAGAAGATAAATACAAGGATACCACTCTAATATGATCCAGTGTCATCTACCCAGAAAATCAGGCAGCAGAAATTCTTGAGTCAGAATAATCACATCTAAACTGGGAGCTCAGGCATCAAAAACAAGCTCACTAACAAGTGAGGACTAAAAGACTCTCTGGGAGATCTTCAGAAATGAACTGGTATTTGCTTATCTTTGTTATTTGTCATGATTTTGAGGAATTTTAATTTTCATCACTGTCAACTTTTTCTTTGTGTGACACAGTCTTCTCTACCCAGTTGATAAATTGCCCTGTCAGAAGAGCTTAGAATATTCTGACTGCATCCCCTTCAGAAGCAGACACCTATTAGTTCTGGGTGACAACCCATAATGCCTAAGCATGGGATACTAGTGGTTGAAGATTAAGTGGATGTGGGAATTGCAACACTTCACCTTGCCTCTTATTTGGACTAAACCAATCATGTGATGGTTTGGTTACTCATGCTAAGCCCTAACACACACAAACACACATTTTAAAATACTTGGCTATTCACAGTCCAAATAGCATCAAAACCACAGTCAGAACGCAGTGGCTAAAGGTCAGTTGATTCAAAAGACACAAAACTTCAACATGGCTGTAAAGAATTTGACATTACACTAAAACTTACCAGTTCTAACTTACACAGCTAAAACCCACCATCCCACATGCATTGTAGTTAGACCCCCCCCCCCATTTCCTTCATATTCTATCAGTGAGATATATTTTCGACTTGAACATTTTTTTTTTTACAAACTACTTAATTTGCGAAACTGATTATCAAGAGGATGCTTCCTCGATCGCTAGAATCTCAACCTGTTCAAGTCTAGGGTTAACTGTAAGCATTCCCACATATTCTCATAAACTGTGCCTCTGACCACTTACTCTGTAACCCTCTACCTTGAGTGGCTCTTGAGCCTTGTATAGAGTGAACATTTTTGAAAAAAAAAAAAAAAAGAATAGCTAACAGCATGCAGGTGCTTCTAGTTTTCCTTCAAAATTAGTTAGTATATTGTCTGTGAATCCTTGTCAGGGTAAATAGGCTTCCTACTTGACATTTCCTAATGTTAGTCTCTGAATTGGGTAACGGACAATGAAGTTTATTGAAGAAAAATATCAGGAAAATTTCAGCATTCATTGATCAAGCAGCCAGTACTACTGGTTGTAATTTATAAAATCTTTCTCTTAAAACAATTTTTCAGAAAAATAGGTTTCCTAAAGTTCAGTGACTGTTAATGTTCTTTGCAGTTTTGATGCGAGTTTCCTTCCTAACCTTTTGTTTTAAACATCAACATCTTGGTTATGTCTTTATTTTCTCTTTGAATTACATGTGCTATCATTGTACTTGATGCTGTTAAAAGTCTTTAAGTGATGAGGATTCTGTTATTTGGTGCAGATTTTGTTTGTGATTCTGTAGTGCAAGTCCACAGGGTTAAAAGAAGAATGGTTCTCGTTAGGACCTACAGGCTTCATTTTCTCAAAATCATTTTAACCATTGATCTGAGAAAGCAGTTGTATACAGCTGACAGCTTAGATATTTCTGAACATGATTTGGTGCCATGCATGACATCCATATGAAAGCCTCAATCTGATGAGGCTATTTTAGAACTTGACTCTAGTTTTCAGGTTAATGTTTTGTTTTTGTAGCAATTTACAATGTTGGGTAAAACTATCCCTAGTACAGAGTTCTGTGTTCAATTTCCTTATCTTCTATACTAAATTTGTTATAACTGATCTATACACCAACATATTTATTGAAGTATTTAATATTTACTAAGTCCATATCCTCTAATTATTATTTATTAATACAATATCCTGAATTTTTTTAGATATATTCAGTTTAGGTACTATCACTATTTTCCTTCTCATTTCAAGTATGTCTATAAAAAAGAAAACAAATTCAAACAAAAATAAAATAAATAAGATACACTATTGAGAAAATAGATGAATACAAATGCCAGAAATACAGGCATCCAATAGTCAAATGTATTAAGTGACTAACAGGTAAGAGATGTGAACAGAAAGACTTCAACCATCCTGATGGAGAATATGATAAAGCAATTAAATGTGTGGTCTTGGAGATTAACCATCATATGCATGAATGTGTGAAATATGTAGAACAGAAAAAATCATGGAAGTGAAATACCATTCCCAGAATCATGGAAGACAGTACAAAGCTAGAACAGAAATATAAGATGCTCAAATATTGTGCAAAAGTCATCAACTACAGCAAATGCTAATTAACTAGACTTTCTCTCTCTTGCTTTTGACAGCTGATATTGTTCAAGGAACATTTATCATGAAATTATTGTGAATGCAAGAATTATTTTCTCTTTTTAGCAAAGAAATGTTTTTAGATGCCATTTCCACCTGTTGAAGCTACTTCTTAAATGCTATAGTACTTGCATTTTTATATTTAAATTCTACATTTTAAATTGAAAAAAAAATGTTATAAATTATATAAAGTATTAAAAATAATTATGGCAGTTTTCTTGATGGCAATCAATATAGAAAGATTAACATTAAAACAATTCATTATGATTTTTATCCTATAAGACTTATATATTTAATTCTGTATAAGAGAAAGACTGATTTCAGCATTAAAAAATAGTGAAGTATTGATGTCATAAAATTAACCAACCAACCAGTCAGTATATTTCTTCATTGCTTGACTGTGGGACATAGACTTGTGGATAATAGCTTAGTCTCATTTTCTAGAAGTCATGTGTTCAATCCTTGGGCCAAACCAGCTGAGCAGAAGATGACAGAAACAAAAAGAGAAAGGTGACAATTATAAAGTTTGAAGACTGAAAAGAAAACCAGGTTTGACAAATAAATGAAGACAACAGCATATGTTGCCAAATAATTCTATTAAATATTTCTCAAAGATTACAAGATAAAAACAAACTCCTGGTAAAGATTAGGTATTTTTTATAACTTACTTTAAAATGTCAGCAGAAGTTTTAGTAACAGATTTATTATTTAAATTAGTAGCCAATTTATTATTTGATGGTGCTGCTGTGGTTTCCATAACAAGC